AACATGTGACAAAGTTCGAAGAACCGGCAGACACGCCGACACAACGCAGCCATGCCCAAGAAGCCCCAGACGCCGAACAACCACAGGACGATGATCGGCTTCTCAGAATGCACAAGAAATCAGAGGCGGGCCTCGAAGCACATGCCACGACGGTGAAACTCACAAGGCTACGGAGCACTACTGGAAGCAATCCCAATAAAACAGATCAACGCCATGCCCGCCCATTTGATGTCTGACAACAACGCGCTGGCAACTGTTGCTGGCGAGCGGCGCGGGCACTTGCCTACGCGGGGTATACCGCAGAATACTAACACAGCCGAAACAAATCATTCTCGCTGTGCTCCGCGGACGACGATGACAGTTATGGGCTAGACTCCGACGAACACGGACAGTATGTGGAGCTCTGCCTTGCGGCAGACATAGCGATGGAATTCCTATCCGCGCGACAACATGAGGTACTGGACGTCGACCGCGCCACCGCGATGCGAGTATGCGCGACCGCTGCAGCTCAACGAGATGCGGTCGTCAAGGAGGGCGACCTTCTTACGAGGGCAGATATCCAGGTGAACCCGGACAGGCTGTCAAGGGCCTGATTTACCGATATCAAAAATTGGTTTGACAACAAGCGTTTCAAAATACAAGACATATCCACAGCGTCGAGCATCCTGACTTCGATATACGTATACAACTGAATTTCGCTACGCACCATTCGGTCACGCCTGGCATGGACCTCGGAGCCTTCGACGTAGAAGCGTTATCAGGTAGCGCGCGGCGGCGAAGCTGGCGATTGCTCGCCGGCGCGGCTGCGCGCAGGAATCAGTGGATCATTGATTCTCTTGACATCAACAAGGCTCTTTCGAAGGGGCTCGCACATCAAATGCTCGCTGGCGCGCTGCGCACTCACCCTGCCACCTGGGCCAGCATCTGCGCCCAGATCGCTCCCAGGATTCTGGCGCCACGTCGAGTCGAGACACTGTCTGCAGCGCCGCAAAGCAGGCGCGGACACCAAAGATGCGCCAAGAGCCTTCCCACCGAAACTCAGGAAGACCGCGAGAGGCATTGGACTCTGACCCGCGTCTTGCGACGGGGATTTTGCGACGGGCGCCGTACTTCTCACCTCCAAGCACGTCGATTATAGAAACATGGCCCGCACCGAAGAGACCATTGACAAAAACGTCAAGCGCGTTGAAATTACATTTGGGGAATTCAAACTCAGCAGACATACGTATCCCAACTGCGATACGAGATGCGCTAAAGAAAGTGACGGTTATGTTACCCTTGACCAACACGAATAGATGAGGCAACTCCGTCCTATCCAGTACCGCGAACTCACAGGCGCAGGTACTGAGGCTAAGGCAACGAATATGGTCGGCGATCTGTTTGTCAGCCTCAGAGGTGCTTTGGCTTACGCTCTCATTACACAACTGTGGTTAATGGCGCACGTTGCATCATTGCAGCGCGTCCTGGAAACAACCAACATGCAAGTGCGACGGCTCAGCGCGATTACTTGGAAGCTGCAGGCATGCCCATAGAAAATCGTTTATAAAACGATGATATCAACGGGCAAAGTAGACCAGCGCATCGACGCCTCGCTTAAACGGCTATGCCGATGATGGGGTCAAAACCTATGGCTTTCGCGGGACCAAAGTGCTCGAAGACGTGGACACACGCATGGCGGAAAACCCGTCGTCCATCTTGTCGACGCGCACTGCATGTCTCACCGCTTTCTGGTCCGCTCTAGCTGTTCGGCTGAAGCGCTAGCAACAGCCCATAACTTGGGGGAGTGCTATCCCACGATCGTTCAGCCACGCAGGGGCGCTGGCACCCATTCGCTGGAAGAGTATTATTGAGATGGGCGGCCTCAACATTAAGGTCACCCTGACCACTGATGCGGAGTATGTCTTCAAGTCCTTGTCCAGCAAAGGCATGAAGAGGCCGACTGAATGCACCCTCCTGGGCAACATCCACGGGATACGGCAGATGATGGAGCGCGGTATCGTGCATTGCGCGCAGTGGTGCGACACCCGTGACATGACCGCAGCTGGTCACACCAAGGGGGGCATTGACCGAGATACGCTCTTACAAAATTATGGATGGACTGCAATATTTCGAGAATGAGTTGAAGCGACATACTCCGTACAGGACCGGCCAAACAAAAACATCTGAGCCGTCCGGGAAGTAATAAGCTGCGGGGTAGATCTGCTGAGATTTGAGCCCGCGGGCTGCTGCCTTCCTTTTGTAATATAACTATTTTGCCGAATCAGGCCGAACGCGGACCCGCGCTTCGTCTCCTCCCCCCCGACCCTGAAGGAGGAAAGGCAAAGGCGAAAATTAACGAACGTTTGTTCGCGGCCGGTTGGACTCTAGCGTCCGGCCGCCTATATGACCGTGTCGCGCCGCGACACGCCACTCGACATCGATAAGGAAAACAATCCCTTGAGATCTCACCTTGCCGCTCACGCGGTCATCTCTTCTCTCCTGCCTTATCGCTACTACGAGACAACAGGGTTACTCGCATACCACGCTAACGCGCATTTCGTTGTTGGTTGGGGCGGTCACCTCACTATGAACTCCATCCTAAGAGACATCCTAAGAAACTCCGAGGCGCATCCCAGCGACCTCTTGCCATTCTGCTCGCCCTCCTCGTCCTCATCTGCCTTTTCTTGTTCCTTCTGCCTCCTCCTGGCCAAAGACTGGTGCGTAGGGTGGCGCCACCAAAGTCGCACGCCGAGACTCCTGAAGGGAGTAATATCCTGTATGCAGCCGTCCGCGGAGTGATACCGGGCCGCCAGCGCAGTGGCCAGGATAACGATGGCTGTAGTTGGCTCCGTAGGTCGCCTGAACCACCGGATCAAAGCCAAGCGCACTCACGAACAGGGTCGCCGACGTCTGAGAGCTGCCAAGGACCAGGGAAATCCACGTCTCAGCATGGGGTCGAACGAACACGGGAGTGCCGTAGGCATCGCCGCCGGGAACCGTGGTTGCATTCAACACAGTCATCCGACAGCCAGGAGAGCACAGGCTGTACCACGTACACACCAGAACTCCATGCGCACTGGCGGGGATACGCGAAGCGTCAAGAATATGGCGCAGACATGGCCATAATATGCCTCAAGCGTGCCAATATCAGAGCAAAGACATGGCAATAACATAGCACGGACACAGAAAAGGCAAAAACGGAAAACCACACCAGAGGCCAGCCAAGGCATGGCAATTGTATGGCAACAGCATGGCACTCACATGGTAATAGCATGGCAATTGCATGGCAGCTGCATGGAAACAGCATGACAATGGCATGGCATCTGAATGGCAACTGCATGACAATCGCAGGGCAATAGCATGCGACAGCATGGCAACTTCATGGCAACGGCTTGGCAATAGCATGGCAGCTGCATGGCAATTGAACGGCCGTACCATCGCAACTGCATAGCGACAGCATGGCAGTGGCATGGAAGCTGCACGGCAACCGCATGGCAACTGCATGACAACAGCATGGCAATGGCATGGCAATGCCATGACAAGTGCATGGCAACTGCGTGGCAACAGCATGGAAATGGCATTGCAGCTGCATGGCAGCTGCATGGCAATCGCATGGCAATATCATGACAGCATCATGGCATCAGCATGGCAACTGAATGGCAATGGCATGGCAACAGCATAGCAATCACGTGGCGACTGCACGGCAATTGTATGGCAACTGCATGGCAACTGTACGGCAATCGCAGGGCAATAGCATGGCAACTGTACGGCAATCGCAGGGCTATAGCATGGCAACTGCATGGCAACAGCATGGCAAAAGCTTGGCAGTAGCATGGCAACTGCATGGCAATTGCATGGCAACTGCATGGCAACTGCATGGCAGCAGCATGACAATGGCATGGCATCTACATGGCAACTGCATGGCAATCGCATGGAAATAGCATGGCAACTGCATGACAATGGCATGGCCCGCCCCCCCCCTCCACCCCCCCTTCCGCGCCCCCTCCACCCTCGCCATCCACACCCCTTCCACCCGCCCCCTCCCCCCCCCTCCACCACCTCACCCACCCCCCTCTGGAGCCTACCAGATGGCCCCAAAGGCTCCCAAGAGTGCCCCAACAGGGCCCCAAGAGGCGCCCAAACACCCCAAGAGTCCCCCAAGAGGCTCCAAAACGGCCCCCCAAAGGACCCCAAGAAGAAGCTCCCTCGAGGCACCGAAAACGCTCCACGAGGCCCCCGAGACCGCCACGACGCCCCAAGACACTCCAAAAGGCCTGCAAAAGACTCCCAAGAGACATCCCAAGAGACTCCGAGGGGCGTTCAAGCGGCCTCTTGCCATTATGCTCGCCCTCCTCGTCCTTATCCGTATATACTATGTTTTGGCCCTCCCCCTTCCTCCTTTTTCCTCCCCCCCTCCTCCTCCTCCTCCTCCGCGCTCCGGGGGGCACCCTCCGCTGGTGGAGGGTGTCGGGGCCAAAAGCGCTCCCCTGACGGAGGCGGGGACCGTCGGGCCTTCGGGGCGAAAAGCCTCCGCACCTGGGTACGGCAGCCAAAGCGCGGTCCCCTTCCCCAGGGGGTCGCCTGGCGCGCAGGTCCTCCGTTCGGGCCAGGTGTCCCTCCCTGGTCTTCCCGTCCCGGGGGTCGTGCCGGGCGGTCCGTCATCTCCGTCGGTCGTCGTCGTCGTCCGTCGCGTCGTCGTCGTGTCGTCGTCGGGCGTGCTCGTGGGGTCTCGGCGGATGGGCGGGCAAGCCCCTTGACCTGCCCGCGCGGCTTTGTGGGCCGGGAGGGTCTCCGGTTTTCCGGAGGCTCCCCTGGCCCCTTCCGCGCGGGTGTGGGCAGGGGGGTTGTGCCTGCCTTTCGCGCTCCCCCCCACGGGCCCGCCACCCGCCTCAGGTGAGGCGCGCGGCTAACTGTTGCTGGACTCGGTCCTGCCAAACGGCTTGCAGAAGAAAAAAACATCCTCCTCCGCGTACTCCTCCATATCCTCCGATTCATCCTCCATCTTCCTCCTGTTTGGGTACGTTTGCTTCCCGAGCCTTTGGTTTTCTGTATGCTCCATCCCCCACTTCTCTGATCAGGGCATGTCGTCGAGCTATCGTTGCTGCATAGGCTGGATACGCAAAGCGTCGAGAATCTGGCGCACTCGTGAACATCCTAAGGTACTAGCGTACCAATCGCAAAACAGCAACATGGCAGTAGTATCACAGAAAATGCAAAACCAAAACAAAAACACCAGAAACCAGCCTGGACGGACAGGGCGAGAAACGCGGTCGACTGAACACGAGGGCAGCCCAGATCTCGCAGGGCCGACCTCTCAGCCAGACCCGACTGCACTGACCAACTCGGGCAACGTTCCTGCCCCCCGGGTTCCTGGAGCAAACTCGCCTCCGCGTGGCCGCCCTCGTCGAACGGTTCCTCCATGCCGGCGTTCGCCCCGGTCGGCCCCTCGCGGCTGGGCGTAGCCGCGTGGGGCATGGTGGCCCTGCGCATCAAACGCGTGACGCCGCCGGCGGGCCCGACCTGCACTTCCGAGTCGGCACCGCCTGCACCCGCGACAATGGCCGCAGCAAGGACGGCGGCGAACGCCATGGCGCGCATGAGAACGGATACTTGGCTTTCTGGCGCGCGGGTTACAACGGACCAGAATAATTTCGGGAGCGGCCAAAGAGGGGGGTGTCCAAGAGGGGGGGGGGTGCAAATCATGACCGGCGGCACGTGCGCGGCCCAACGGGGGGACCAGGGACGTAATGAAATAAGAAGGAACGCCATGAAATCTGGGGAAATATCATGGCCCCCGCCATGATATCTATCCCCCCCTAGTCATCCCCCCTTTCGCCGCCCCAAATAGTTTCTTTGTTGAAGCACAGCTCGCTGGAACCTAAACGGACACGGAAAATTGTTCCGCCTCGGGCGTGAAGGATTTGGTTGATTCCATCAGGCGGGACGGTCTGGGTTCTAAAAGGGCGCACAGCTCGACCACGCAGCTCGCGACCAGGTGGCGGGGATTTGCTCGGGTCAACAGGGCCAGATCGGCTTGGGCATTGGGGATTAACTTGGGCCCCCCTGTCTGTCTGGTTTTGGGCGGCGGGGATCGGCGTGGGCCCGCCCGGCTGGCTCCGCTGAGAACGGAAGAAAACAGGGAGGAGGGCAAACCCATCAACGACGTTGGAAGTACGCTACCGAGAAATCCCACGCACTTAGTTAAAATATGATGTGATTGCTTATCGTGTTCATACACGTTCGACGCTGCGTTCTGAACCCTCGTCGCACATGCTTCTTTGTTCTGTCACCCATCACACCATTACTTGAAGATCCTCCTTCTTCCACGCCTTCTATCCACCACCGGGACAAAAGGTCGAGGTGGTCACCGAGGGCCGTGTCTTGGGGCGGCGACAGTCAACGGGGGAAAGCAAGAAATCCAAGGCCCACACTGGAAGACGGCGCAAAACAAGCCCCTCGCGCAATCGCTCTAGGGAGCCTCTCGGGTGATCCTGTCGCCCTTCCTCATGCTGCGTTCCCCCGCGCCCCTGCCTCCCTTTCTCACCTAGGTTGGCCTACTTTGTTCTTTCCTACATATATGTATATATGTACAAACATACATACATATGTGTATATATATATGTATTAACATGCATTTTCCACGTCTGTCACCGCGTCTCTTCGACGGAGTCTCCGAGCTGCGCGCGCCAAGGAATTGCCGTGCAAACAGGATCCACCTGCCTGCAATATGCGAGTGCCCTGTGATGGAAGCTCTTGGCTGCGGTCGCCATGGCGACAGAAACTTGGCGGCCGCTCCGAAATCGCCTAGGAACGGCGCGGGCCGCGCGAATACGACACGGCCGGATGGCGCTGCCGTCGTCGGGAAAACTCTGGCGCCCGCGCGCCCCGACAACCTCGCGCCGCTGGCGAGATCCGCTGGCGCCCCCGAGCGAGGGCCTCGTACCCCCGCGTCTCCGTGGCCACGCGCTCATTGATCTTCTGGAAGCGCGGATGGAGGCGGGCCTCCCCTGCGGGACCCCCCTCGGCAGCGGCCGCAGCAAGGGCGCATCGCCCACGCGAGTGGCTCTGCTAAGCATCGCGCGCAGGTGCTGTCACCAGTTATCCGCCATTCCCCCCAGTCTGCCCATGCTCGTGTCCCGTGAGAAGTCGCTGCTGAATTGAAACATCCCGAAGCCTGCGAGGCTCGCAATGGATCGCGGCCTGCGCCGCGGCACCCAGGCACCGCGCGCCCCCGAGGTGAGGAGCGCGCGCCGACGGCAGGTAGAGGTTCGAGAGGTCGTCTGCGACGCAGGCAACGAAATCGAACGCACTCTCCTTGGCGAACGAGAATGCGTCCGCGCGGGCGAGGGCCATGGCTCTGAAATCCGCCCGAGCAGCGAGGACCTGCGCGACGCGCTCGGCCCTGACAGGGTCGGGGCGAGGGCCCCCTTGGTCAGCTGAGAAGAACAACTTCACCGCGCCCAGCCGCTCTGCTAGGGCCGCCCAACGCGCGCGGTGCGCGACGCCTTCCGTCCCTCGCGAGGGATCGACGCCGCGGGCTCCGCGGCGGCTCGAAACGCCCATCGCCGGGGGGCGACGTCGCTCACCTCGCCGTGGAACTTGGCGCCGGCTCCACCGAGCACGTCAGGCTGCCCAAAAACCAAACGAAGAGCAGGTACATTTATTTCGTAGATCCAGTGGCCGTTGGAGTACCTGTTGAGAGCTTGCCACAATATGGCATCGGCGCACCTTCTGGGCGGTGGATATTGTGGATGATCCGCTCTTCTCTCTGCGGCAGACTCGTGCCATCCGGCAGCCTTCTTATCCGCATGGGCGCATAGACAAGTCGCCGCGACCGACTGTCGCGGGCTCCGCGACCAAGATCCTCGCCAACAACGCCCGTCCGCCTCCGCGGGCCCAGGAGAAAGCCGCGCGCGATGGGGCGCCAGCGAAGCGAACAGAGGTAGCCAGCGGCAAGGCCAGGGACCGCCGCGAAGTGCAAGTCTGCGCGGACGGGGCCTTAGTCGGCGTGGCCTTCGCAGGCGCGGTAACCGCGGATGGGGCCCCTGCGTCAGCAGCCGCGCCGCCGGCCTCGCGCAAACGCCGAACCTTCGCCGGCGGGCCGGCGTCGTCGTCTAAAGCAGACTCCTGGTGGAATCCGCCCGACGCAAGATTCCGCGGGTGCGCCGCCAGGCACTGCCTCTTGCCGTCGTCGTTCATCTCGGAGTACCTCGCGTAGAGCGCATCGGGCCACCAATTGTTAAGCTGGCGGCGGTACGCATTCGTAGCGGACAGCACCACTCCGCTGGCGCATCTGCGCGAGGCCCCCACGCTGACCTCGCCGCCCATCTGAGCCATTGCAGTCTTCATCGCTAGACGCGGAGGTGACAGCGCGTCCGCGGCGATGTGGGGGGGCATGGCGGCGGCGCCCTGAAGTAGGATTCAGGAGCGCCTGCGTAAGAGCGCAAGCGCCAAGCTGGCTTGAGCCAGCGCGTTTACAACTCTGGGTAAGAAACGAATTATCGCCCGCGCCCCCCGCCCCCCCCCAAAAAAAACACGCGCAACTCGCACCGGCCATGATGCGCCGCGCCAGTCGCGCGTTGGGAACGCGAGCCGGGTACGCGGGAAGAGGTCAAAAGCTGCCGGGGCGGTGGTATGAAGTTGGAAAGTGCCACCCACGCCTGCCACGCTGTGCCACATACGGGACACATCGACAGACAGCCAAGAGCGTGCCTCGAGCGCCCTATCCAAATACCTTGCGAGCCTGCAACGCATGACGCCCCCACCCCCAGCACGCCCCCTGTGGCGTCGAGGAACGGCCGCGCCTGCCACCACTGCGATCTGCAACGCATGGCGCCCCCACCCCCAGCGCACCCCCACTGGCGTCGACGAAATGCCGCGCCTGCAACGCCCTGCGAGCCTGCAGCGCATGGCGCCCGTATGGCGTCGAGGAAATGCCACGCCTGCCACGCCCTGCAGCCCCAGCGCAGCCCCACTGGCGTCGAGGAAATGCTACGCTTACCACGCCCTGCGACCTTGCAGCGCGCAGCGCCCCCACCCCAAGCGCACGCCGCGCGGCGTCAAGGACACGCCGCGCCTGCCACGCCCTGCGAGCCTGCAACACATAGCGCCCCCACCCCCAGCGCACCCCCGCTGGCGTCGACGAAATGCCACGCCTGCCACGCCCCACGCCCTGCGAACCTGCAGCGCATAGCGCCCCCACCCCCAGTGCACCCCCTTGCGGCGTTGAGGAAATGCCACGCCTGCCACGCCCTGCGAGCCTGCAGCGCATATCTCCCACCCGCAGCGAGCGCCCAGTGGCGTCGATGAACTGCTACGCTTACCACGCCCTGCGGCCTTGCAGCGCGTAGCGCCCTCCCCCCCCCCCGGCGCACGCCGCGCGGCGTCAAGGACATGCCACGCCTGCCATGCCCTGCGGGCCTGCAACACAGAGCGACCCCACCCCCAGCGCACCCCGTGCGGCCCCAAGGAAATGCAACGCCTGCCTGCAAAACATATCGCCCCCACCCCCACAGCACCCCTTGTGGCGTCGAGGAAATACCTGCGAGCCTGCACGTGCCACGCCTGGCACGCGTTCCGAACCTGAAACGGATGGCGCCCCCACATCCAGCGCGCATCATGCGGTGTCGAGGAAGTGCATGCCTGCCGTGCGCTGCGAATCCTACACGCATGCCTTGCGTATTGCGTGTTTTGTGCATGTGCATGGTGCGTGCGAGGCTGCATCTGGATGCGTATCATGCGCGCGCCCAGTACTTAGGAGGGGGAGGGGGGGAGGGAGGAGGGCGGATGGAGGGAGGCGTGAGACGCGGGCGTGGCGCGGGCGAGAAAAAACCCAAACCCCAAGAAACATGCGGGGAATAAACCCTCCCTCCAAGCTTCCTCTTCAGAGGCCCTTACAAGGATTCAGTTGCGATGAAGGAAGTGCCCCGTTGGGAGACACTGTTTGAAAATCTTGACGCGCACCAGAACACCACTCTCGAGACTTCAACGCCACGAATCAACCTTACTGTCGCGTCCTGACGACCCTGAACCGTTGCAGAAAATCCGCTGACCCCTTGTGGGTCGCTAGGCGCGCGGCATTCCCCCCCCTCCCACCGGGGCCCCGAACCGGCAATTTGATCCCCCCCCTCGCCCGGCACGACCCACCGCCGAACGCATCACGGGGGAACACAGGGCCCAACACGAGCCAAGAGGACACCAAAACGCCACCGTCCAAGAGGGCCGAAATATCCCTCCGAGACGCCCACGATGGCTTCCAGACAGCCTCCGAAGCCCCCAAGACGACCCAACAGGCCCCCAAGAGGCGCCCGAGCGAGCCCCAAGAAACAAATCTCGTCAAATTCCCTTCGTAAAACGTTCATTGTTACCCAATCGGCCTCTTGCGGTTTCGCAGCGTCCGACATGGGCCACGAAACCTTCCATATCCTCCCGGGACGGCCACGGCAACTGCCGAAAGAAGTCCAAGAGGGCCCAGAGACGGCGCAAGAAGCGCCCAAAACGGCCCACGAGGGCCTCCAGACGGCTCCAAGAGGGAGCCGGGTAGGCAACTTTTTGGTCGTTTGGCTCCGAGATACCCTCATCCTGCTGCAATATCCCCCTAAGAGGGTCCCAGGGAGCCCCAAGCGAGGCCCAAAAGGCTCTCAACAGGCTTCCAG